AGTACAGGTAGTATGGGTCATACGGGTAATATGGGTGGTACGGGTAGTATGGGGTCATACGGGTATTATGGGTAGTACAGGTAGTATGGGTCATACGGGTATTATGGGTAGTACAGGTAGTATGGGTCATACGGGTATTATGGGTAGTACAGGTAGTATGGGTCATACGGGTATTATGGGTAGTACAGGTAGTATGGGTAGTACGGGTATTATGGGTAGTACAGGTAGTATGGGTAGTACAGGTAGTATGGGTCATACGGGTATTATGGGTAGTACAGGTATTATGGGTCATACGGGTATTATTTGTAGTACAGGTATTATGGGTCATACGGGTATTATGGGTAGTACAAGTAGTATGGGTCATACGGGTAGTATGGGTCATACGGGTATTATGGGTAGTACAGGTAGTATGGGTCATACGGGTAGTATGGGTCATACGGGTATTATGGGTAGTACAGGTAGTATGGGTCATACGGGTAGTATGGGTCATACGGGTATTATGGGTAGTACAGGTAGTATGGGTCATACGGGTAGTATGGGTCATACGGGTATTATGGGTAGTACAGGTAGTATGGGTCATACGGGTAGTATGGGTCATACGGGTATTATGGGTAGTACAGGTAGTATGGGTCATACGGGTAGTATGGGTCATACGGGTATTATGGGTAGTACAGGTAGTATGGGTCATACGGGTAGTATGGGTCATACGGGTATTATGGGTAGTACAGGTAGTATGGGTCATACGGGTAGTATGGGTCATACGGGTATTATGGGTAGTACAGGTAGTATGGGTCATACGGGTAGTATGGGTCATACGGGTATTATGGGTAGTACAGGTAGTATGGGTCATACGGGTAGTATGGGTCATACGGGTATTATGGGTAGTACAGGTAGTATGGGTCATACGGGTAGTATGGGTCATACGGGTATTATGGGTAGTACAGGTAGTATGGGTCATACGGGTAGTATGGGTCATACGGGTATTATGGGTAGTACAGGTAGTATGGGTCATACGGGTAGTATGGGTCATACGGGTATTATGGGTAGTACAGGTAGTATGGGTCATACGGGTAGTATGGGTCATACGGGTATTATGGGTAGTACAGGTAGTATGGGTCATACGGGTAGTATGGGTCATACGGGTATTATGGGTAGTACAGGTAGTATGGGTCATACGGGTAGTATGGGTCATACGGGTATTATGGGTAGTACAGGTAGTATGGGTCATACGGGTAGTATGGGTCATACGGGTATTATGGGTAGTACAGGTAGTATGGGTCATACGGGTAGTATGGGTCATACGGGTATTATGGGTAGTACAGGTAGTATGGGTCATACGGGTAGTATGGGTCATACGGGTATTATGGGTAGTACAGGTAGTATGGGTCATACGGGTAGTATGGGTCATACGGGTATTATGGGTAGTACAGGTAGTATGGGTCATACGGGTAGTATGGGTCATACGGGTATTATGGGTAGTACAGGTAGTATGGGTCATACGGGTAGTATGGGTCATACGGGTATTATGGGTAGTACAGGTAGTATGGGTCATACGGGTAGTATGGGTCATACGGGTATTATGGGTAGTACAGGTAGTATGGGTCATACGGGTAGTATGGGTCATACGGGTATTATGGGTAGTACAGGTAGTATGGGTCATACGGGTAGTATGGGTCATACGGGTATTATGGGTAGTACAGGTAGTATGGGTCATACGGGTATTATGGGTCATACGGGTATTATGGGTGGTACAGGTAGTATGGGTCATACAGGTATTATGGGTAGTACAGGTGTAGTAGATAGTACAGTCCTTTAGGCGCTCGCCATGCTGTAGCGTGTCATCTTTCTCCTCTACACCGTCAGTTTGGGGGGTAATTGGGGAGATTCTATAAAGCGGTGACACGGTTTTGGTGCTATGATCTTATTGGACCGTGCGGTGCCAAATTCATGAAAGCCGTGTGACAGTTTCCTTCTATTTGTGACACGAGTAACACATTCAGGGAGTATTTCTGTGCGGCACTTCACATTCTGGTGTTATGGTCGTGATATATTGATTAGGAAATGCCGCCATATTGATGATATGAATAGTGGAGGATGATACCATCCCATCCACTGTGCTGTCAGCCATTGTTATTTTTGCTCTTCCCACTACACTGCTGTGTATTCATTGTATATTATTACATTGTGGTGTGAGCCTGACATCTAGTGGTAGATTACTGCTACTGCAGGTGGTGTTTCTGTACACGGTTGGTATCTCCCTCTGTTCCCCCCTCTGTTTGGTGTCAGTTGGTATAGTCCCTCCCTTCTTCTTCCATGTACACACTAGGCCGGCATTGTCTCCTTACACTTGATCCGTGATCCTCGTCTGTGAAGAGCTTTGAGAAGTAAAACTTTTCCTATTGGAGAGTTAGGCTGCTTGTGGATTGTGCTGGTTCAGCTGGTGACCGTAATGCCCGGACGGATCGAGGGCCACAGGAGGTATTATGTCAAAGCATAAAGTGGCCCCTGATCTGAGCCTGCCCCGAGCCGCGCCATTTGTCAATGGAATGCAATAATATGATCACCTGATCTGAAGACGAGGAGCCTCGAAACGCGTTTCATGGTGTTTTAATGTAAATACAACAATATTAAAATCAGTTTTACCACAAACATGAGATCTCTTCAGTTGTCTGCAAAATCCTCCAATCCCGGCCTCTGTAAGACGAACGTTCAGGACGGAGGTCTGATCCTCCACATTGAGTGAACCTTCCGGAGACATTCTCCTCATGTGTAAAGTGAATGCAGCACGCCATTATAACATATAAATGTCTGTCTAGTCCCCATAAATACCTTGGAATAGATCCTGAGGGCCCCGTTCACGGACATTTCCTGTATGCTGTGACCACGTGTCATACTGTCTTCTAATATCTTCCATTGTAGTCACACATACAGAAGCATTGTGCTCACACACTAGGACACTGTTTTATTCACTACTCCCTCCCAGCTCCAGCCCTCCTCCCTACTGCCCCACCCACCTCCTCTACTTTTCCAGCCTCTTCTACAAGGAGGAGGCAATCTGCATGTGACCTGTGGTGCAATGCATTGTGGGAGATGACATACCACCATCAGCAGAGGCCGGGGTATAAGGAAGAACATAAGAATCATTTTTATTTATTCCTCTGTGTGTTCTGAAGTCCCAATGTGGTGACATCGCCATTAGATCTCCTTTACTGACAGACAACCAACCTTGATGTTAGTAATACTAGTCCGTCATCATTTCCTATTGGTGGATATAAAAGACGAAGGAGAGGCGTGTCCAGAGGAGGAAACCCTTCCAAAAACATTCACACCCATCGCACTCCTGATTGGTTAGAAAACCCTAATTGTATAAAAATTGCAAAATAAGTCCACAAAACATAAAATAAGTCCAAGCACTCCAGCATGTAGAAAAGTCAATGTTTATGACCTTTCCCTGGGGGCCACCAGTAGCAGATCTCAGGGGCCGATGGAGAAAACCACAGGGGTGGAAAGTGTCTGTTACTCGCAGCGACCAATCAGATTCCAGCTTTCAGTATAAAATGTCTAATTTCTGGATAACGCGAGTCTGCTGCCGGAGGACAAAGTGCATATGAAGCAGAGGCGTGTCCAGAGGATGGTGCCCGCCCCCTATGACATCATCATTAATAAGAAGAGTCTCCCCGGGGGTGAAGCGTCGGGTCCTCACCCCAGTCGCAGTGTGTAGGATTCCTCTACAGTCTGATAGTTATAGAACACCTCCAATTTGATTGTACATTCTGTGCCGGGATCCGGGGTGAAGGTGACGGAGGATGTACAGTCACCGCCATCTTGTATGTTCTCTATTCCTTCATCAACATTAAACATTCCATTATACCAGGTGAACTCCGCACTGTCCGCCTGACATTCTTCAATGTACGCTACAAGAGTCACCTCCTCCCCCACCCGGGGGCGCTCCGTCACACATCTGATCTCCCGTATACCAAACTTCTTCTCCGGGCCTGTGGGGGGGGGGAAGAACAATGTCATTAATGGTGACCCGGCAATGGCGTGTGCAGGACAGACAACAGGTTCTCTTCAATGTCCTCCTTCCCCAGCAGAACATACTCACCTTTCCTTC